TATTACCCGTAATTCCATTATCCTCTGATTTCCACCTTTATACCAGGGCATTTGTTACCATTATTCTGTTTTCACTGAAATTATTGAGATACACAGTACTCGACTCATGATTCAAACAAATAAATAACACAGAATAGACAAATTTTGCAAACAATTTACTGTTGTCATCTGTGCCTCTGGGGTGAGGCTGAGGCAGGTCCAGCTTCCCTTGTCAACCTAGGGGCCCCGGAGCAGGAATCTAGCACAGCAGATAAACGCGGGAGCAAATCTTCACCGATAAAATTAACTGCCATCTCGGCACGCACAGGGCTCTCTTATCAGATCAGTTACTGGCGCAGCATAGCCCTCCCCCCCCCCAAAAGCTGGCAGCATTTCAAGAAACTGGGCTGTGTTTTCTTTTTTTTTTAACGTCCATTCCTTATCATGATGATAGGCGAGCTGCTAGTGGTCAAGGCCTTACAGCCACACACAACACCCCAGAGGCTGACTGGACTCAGCACATTGACACATCACTACCCTGCCTAACACATACGTACATCACTTTCAATTAGAGCAGCTCGGCTGAAGTGGGGGGGGGGGTAGGGTTAAAGGGGGGCTGTGAATAACAGCCCAATGCCGGCTTCAGGAATGGTGGAAACTCCCCCATATACACTTCTCATTTTTAAACACTGAGCAGGGCTGAAATGTAATCCTGAGCTCGACATTTTATGGAGACATTCCCAACTTTGGGAAGATGTTCCTCCAGAACTTTCCATTGCAAATTTAGCATAGAGTGAACAATATGTGTCTCTTCAACGCCGAATGGTGGAGCGTGCTTATCTTTGGCTGGAAGGTTTGTCCTTTCTGGCAGGTGAGTGAAATCCTGCAATTAGGACATGGTGGTCTGCGAGAGAAGGCACTGATGGAGCGGCGGAGGGATGCTGGAAGTCCTGGAGCTCTGCGGTTCTTTCAAAGCTGGTTTACTAACCGGTCCTGCAAGTTTTTTTTTTGTTTAGTAACGCTGTTAGTGCATCTGTCCTGAATCGTTAAGAACTTCTATATCGGTATGAAATTTGAAACGTGCATGCATCTAATTTCCAGACCCAGGCTTCTCAGTCCTTCTTGCCATGGACTACAGTCCTGAGCGATTACAAAGAAGGGAACAGCAAAATCGAAAAATAAAACCACATCAACTGTGGGAGACGTGGCTGTATCTTCACATGTATGAAAGGACATCTTCAAGTCACGTTTGTGAAAATCAAAATTTGAGAAAGACACTGACTAGCAAACATATGCTGTCCTGCTACCTTTTGACATAAACATGTTGGGTAGCCATTTCCAACAGTTGATGATACGGCAAGCTATTACAGGACCTTTGCGATTATAGCTAAATAACCCAAATAACCTTTATGATTATAGCACTATTTATGTACTATGGGAGTAAAGAAAACACCAATAAACCAGAATGCACTAATCCATGAAGCAGCCCATATCACTGGAAGCAGTAAAACAAATTCTGCTTCCTACCCACTCTGTTACCTGCTGAGTTTATCTCCAGACAGAGGACGGATCAGGCAGTGCTGCTGAGACACACAGACGCGCACACACACACACACACACACACACACACACACACACACACACACATGTCAGGTATACAGTACCTATCCTTATGGGGCCTGCTCATTCACTTCTATGGGAAAAATGCTAATGCTAACTATGACAACCTTAACCCCCACTCTGCCCTAACCATAACCATAAGTAACCAAGCAAAATACAAGAGTTTTTGCATTTTTAGTTTTCTCATAGAAGTCACTGATTTTTATTAAATTGAGTTTTCCCTTATGGGGATCAGAAAACCTGTCCCCATAAGGGAAACAAAAAAACAGAAATTTATCACGTTATGTGTCCCCATAAGGATAGGTATACCCACTCGCACACACACACACACACACACACGCACACACACACACGTTTGTAATTATTTCTTTGTGTGGATTCTCTGTTCACTTCTATGGGGAAAAACTCTAATCCCAACATGATGACCTTAACCCCTACCCAGCCCTAACCTTATCCATAAGTAACCAAACAAAATACGACTTCTGGCATTTTTAGTTTTTTGATTGCTCCATCTTTGTAAGGACCTGAAAAGTGGTCCCCACAACATTGAAATAACAGGTTTTTATTTTATTGTGGGGGACATTTGATCCCCACAATGTCATATAAACATAATCCACACTCACACACACACACCTGCACGGATGGCCGTGCCCTTTCATTCTGACCATAAATCCTGTTAGGATCACTCAGCTCAGGGCAATTACCCTAAATCCCAGAACACACAGCCTACAAGAGAAAATCTACCTCTTGGGGGAGACAGACGTGTACCTGGGAACAGAGCGTACCATGTAAAAAAGAGTATATTTCTCTTCCAGAGTACAGGATTAAGATAGCACGGAGAACGAACACTAAGCTTTTCATCTCAGCTATGTGATGTGAATCCCGTCAGACACTGAAGTTAATTTCATTATTAAACAGCCAGTGTGATGTGGAGCCCACAGATAGACTTGCTAAATCTACTAAGAGGGAGAAAGGGGTCATGGCTGTGTAGTGAGACATAGTAATGGGATCTGTGCCCATGTCCAGAAGGTCTTTGGCTCGAATACCACACCTGGTGGAGTAATCACACTAACACTGGGCACTTGAGAATGGCCTTTAACCATAATTACTCCACTGGGTGCTGGATGCTGGCTGACCCTGCTCTATTACCCCACATTTTCGTCATTGTATAGCTATTTGAACAAAAGAAACTGCTAAGTAAATAAAGGTGAAGCAAGAAGTGGACTGTCAGTGATTATGATACTGACTGCCTTTGAGAGAACATAACAGTTATTTGGGTAAGATGGATGCCTATTCTAACTGTGCTAATGCAGACTATCAACAGGATCCCCAGGGTGCCTGAGGATTAGCAACATTTCCACTCTCAGTTAAATCAATTCTGGGTAGTTATTCAATTCAAATAAACAACAGCCTTATTTTAAAATGTGTCAGATACAAGATATTAACTTGTTTGAATTTCAGTGTTTAACTGCAAATCTGCAATACTAAGGGCAAAGTTAGCAAAAACCCAGAAGAATCCCGGTAACACTTTAATTAATGCAGTCATATAAATGCATTACAGATACTTTCATAATGTATTATAAACATGGCTATATATATGTATAAAAAGGCATAACACATTATAGCCATGTTTATTATGCATTATGAATGTTCTATGAAGCTCTCATCTATAATGCACTATAAATACCTTCATAATGGATTGGTCAGCATAAGGATGCTTTGTACTGCATGGTTTTTATACTGCACTATAGATGAGAGCTTCACAGAGCATTCATAATGCATAATAAACATGGCTATAATGTGCTGTGCTTTTATAAATATAGCTATGCTCCATGAATGCATTATAATGGCATCTATAATGCATTTATATAACTGCTTTATGTAAAGTGTTACCGGAATCCCTTTTAAAAGGGTAAAAAGTATGGGCTCCATTCGGCCTTCATGTCAGATAAGGTGGTCTTTGAGAGAACAGTGCCACCTACAGGCTCTCAGAAAGATGACTGTCCACCAATCAAACTGGCCCAGTGGCACTTACAGTATAGTCACTTAAACCAGGCCAAATACTGGCACTAATGGGTCCCAAACACCCTAGGTCCTCATGGATAGTTCTCAGTCTGCACACTTAGACCAACTGGCCTGAGTGTCTTTAGCCCTGCATAATCACAATACAGACAGCATCACAGCAAGACAAAATGGACTTGCCAAAAGCCCCCACTTAGGAAATATCTCTTCAGGATGCTCAGCATGACAGGGCACCCACTGAACAGAAGAGACAATGAACAACAAGCATCTCCAGCCATCAGTTTTGATGGTAAATATGGCCTTACCCTCAGGATTATAACCTTCAATGCTGGTACGCTTGGTTTCTCAGTGAATTTATAACTCAGGCTGATTGGTTATTATCAGTAACAAAAACTACAACTGTAAGAAAACATTTTTATTTCCATCCATTGTCTGTAACTGCTTGGCCTTTTTAGGGTCACAGGGGGTCTGGAGCCCCTAAGGCAGGGAACAACCCAGGACAGGGCTCCAACCCATTGCAGGGCACACTCAGTGATGCACACCTATGGGCAATTTGGTAACTCCAATCTACCTTAGCATTTTCTTGAATTGTGTGTGTGTGTGTGTGGGGGGGGGGCACACACAGTAGAATGCCACACACAGAGGCATGGCGGACACTTGAACCCTAGCCCCAAAGGTGAAAGGCAGCACTGCTAACCATAACACTACTGCCACCTCCTGAAATAAAATTAGATACCACAATAAAACAAAAAACTACAGAAAAATGAAAACTAAGTATTATAAGTATTGTTTGTCCTTTACTGTTAAATACACCTGGAACACATTTTGCCCATTTTGAGGTCATTAATATATAATGTGCAGTGTATTGAGGTAGGATTCTCTAAAGCAGGGGTCTCAATCTCTAGTACTGGGGGGCCGGAGCCCTGCACATGTTTGGGTTTCCCCTCATTTAACACACCTGATTCAACTCCTTGTGCTAATTACCACACAGCTCTTGAGCTGAATCATTTGTGGTGGAACAGGGAAAGAACTAAGCCACACAGGGCTGCGGCCCTCCAGGACTGGAGTTTGAGACCCCTGCTCTAAAGATTAGGCACATAAAATTGCTCTGCAACTTTCAGTCTATCCCTAGAAATAAAATTACTAAAATTTAAACTGAAACTAAAACATCCATCCATCCATTTTCTGTACCCATTTGTCCTATTCAGGGTTGCGAAGGAAACTAAAACATATAAAGCTAAATAAAAAATATATCTTTAAAAAAAAGCATTAAAATGAATAAAACCACACTGAAAACCAATGAAAAACTGAAAATAATTTAAAGATAAAACTAAATTTAAAAAATCAAAAACATAATAACACTGAAACCAAGTATGTACCTTTCAGTGTTCAAATGGCGTGTGGAATCCTGGAGGTTGTCCACTAGGGGACTGGTGAGCAGCCTGAAAAAGAAGAGGCAAAGGTGTGTGCTTAACGAGGCCTGCATGCCGTGCCATGCTGTACAGTAATGTGAGTTTCAGGAAGTGACTATGGGAAGGAGGGAAGATGGGGAGAGTGAGACTCACCCTGACCCATCAGCGACTGCTGGCAGGGCAATATCTTCGCAGCCCATGTCCATGTCATCCACAAAGCTGCTGGCCCGAGATATGTCCGGGGAGGGACTGCCCAGCCGCTTCTTGGCTGCACAACGTGCACAAAGGTCATGTTTAGGTAGCTAAACTTAACATTTCTAGTCACCAAAATTATGACATGTGGGCTGGTCAGATAGCTAACTGGACAGCAGAGTGAAGCCATCAACAACTGAATTGGAGTTAAGCTGGCTTTCAGGGGACTTCACAGACTGAATGCTGATCTCTCTATTCCCAGAAGCACTGACACGTTCATCATATAACATATGTTCATCGAACTGAGATCTTGCTTCAGTGCTATGATTCATGTTAAATACGCTGCATGTTTCAGTGGTGTCACCGGAATGTCATCCTGGGGTGGGGTTGTGGGTACCAGCACGTGAATTGTGCCAGAGGTCTTAGAATTCCCTGGTGGGCAAACAATCCATTTCCCCATTTTCCTGTACCCATGTCCCTGATAAGTTTACATTATACTTATTTACAGTAGCAGATCCTTATGTCAGAGAGCAGGGTTAGACAGCCCCTGGAGCAATTGACGTTAAACCTTGACCTTGCTCAAGGGCCCAACAGTGACATCACTCTGCCAGTCATGGGATCTAAATTGCTGACCTTCCGATCACAAGAATCCTAACCTGCTGAGTCACACACTACAACTTTCATAAGTCTCTTCTCCTTTCCTGTGAATTTGTACATATTACTGAGTCATATTCAGTCAGCTGCTTATAAGGGCTATAATGAATCATTTTCTGATTTTACAAGAATCGAAAAGCCATTTCTTATACAAGCTGACCAAACAGGTTTTATCAAGGGTAAACACTCAGCCAATAATACACATAGACTAATGAATGTTATAGACTACTGCTCCATTAACAAATCAGAAACCATGGTTATATCTCTAGATCAGGGGTCTCCAACTCCGGTCCTGGAGAGCTACTATCCAGTAGGTTTTCTGTCCCACTTGGTTTCTGATGAGCCACACCTGCTCCTGGTATTTACCTGAGAACAGGTGTGGCTCATCAGAAGCCGGGTATGATAGAAAACCTACTGGACAGTAGCTCTCCAGGACCGGAGTTGGAGACCCCTGCTCTAGATGCAGAGAAAGCATTTGACAAAGTAAATTGGAAATTTCTATTTGCAGTTCTACATAAATTTGGATTTGGTTAATATTTCTTAGCCAACAGATTGCAGTATGTGTCAAATTGCATTAAATCAAACCCAGTAGACAGTCCATGGCTGAACATGCAATCTATGGAGAAGTAAAAATCTCTGATCTATCCTTTATAAGTCCTAGCATTAAGCGTTATGACTGTTTTAAAAGCTTTAGTATTAACACTTCCTTGACAGCCTGGTGGGAATTTTTTTTTAAATAACTAGGTCTGCACTTATTCCCTGTAAACTAACACCATTTGGAACAACCCAGATATTTGCCAGAAAAAGAAAGCATTGAACTTTCCCTTATGGCGTTATAAAGGGATTATAAGTCTAGAACAGAGGTCACTAACAGGCGGACCGCGGTCCGGGTCCGGACCCAGAAGCTGTCCCATACGGACCCGGACCGACAGCCAAAACATTTAGTTATTTAAAACCTGACGGGGCGCTTTTATTTTAACCGGCGCAGCGTTTGTAGTCTTTTCGGTAGAGGTTTAGCAGTAGAACCGCCGTTTTCCAAGCCAATGAACGTCAAACGCCTTTGACCGCCAAGCAAGACGTATAGTTCGGCGTATGCAGCCTTTGTCTGCGCTAATGTGCCACTAGTGTTACCGTGCGTTCACACCGCCGGCGGCAAGAGCGTCAAAATTCGCCCTGGCCGCCCTGCCAACGACGCTGTACAGAGATTTTTGGACGCTTTGACGTAGATTGAATGCTTGTCTTGTATTTAAAGGGGCCGCAAATCAAACAAGCTTGTTAATCTTGTGCAGACTGACCACAAGGAGGGTATAAGTAATAAGATAACCTCATGAAATATATTGAATGTGAAAGTAAGAAATTGATCGATGGAAAGAACTTTTTTGTAGTTAC